GGCATGTTTGTCCAAAGGCGGGTCGGCCGTGTGGGGGGGGGGGGGGGGGGGGGGGGGGGGGGGCGCACACACACACAGGCACCAGCACGGACACCGGCACGGGCGCACGCTCACACGGCGGATTCCGGCCAGGACGGAAATATGCCCCCTGGCCGCTTTCGGGCGGTGCTTCGCCGGAAAGTGTCTTCCCTCCGGCCGGGATGCGAGCATTCCGGGCTCGGAGCCGGGTCCATTGGGTAAGTGCTCCGCAGCGTGCCTCCGGCCCGGGGGAAAGGGGCCAGCGTGACAGGGCCGCGGGCGGTGTCTTTCCCGACGCACGCCCGCACGCACGCCCGCACGCACACACGCATAGGTGAGGCCGGGGTGGAGTCTCCCGCTCAGAGAGGGATCCGGGCAAGGGGCCGCGGGATGGGCGGACGTGCGCCGTCGCCCCCGGCCTGCCTCCCCCGCGCCACGGTGTTTCCCCGACCATGGCGTCCCAAGTGCCCGGACGGGAGGCGGTCCGCCGACGACTCTGCCGGCGCACCCCCTCCCCCCGCGCCTCCTGGCATGCCCCCGCCCCCTCGGCGTCCGACGTGGCGGCCGAGGCCGTCGCATGTGTGGCCCCGGCTCTGCTTTCTGCCCCCCCCCTCCCCCCCTGGGACAGGGAGGATCACCCTGGGTCGGACGGCTCGGCTCTCCCCGGCCCGCCTGCCCCAAAGCGTGAGAGCCGAGGCCGACCGGCGGTGGCTATCCACTCCGCGCGGGGAGAGGGGTGCTACATGCGCGGATCCGGTGCCTTCCGTAGCTCCCCCCGCGCTGGCCCCGGGCTCGGTGCCCGGCGGTGCGACCACACCTCCCTGGTGATCCTTGGCCTGCGCCCGGTCGGGGCACGGCTCCGGCTGCCGGTGACGGTATGCCTGTGCGCAAACACACTGCTTATTGTGGCTGGGAGGGTGTCGCCAAGCGCACCGGGCGCCGGGCGCCGTGCCAGCGCTGGCCGACCCCACCAACGGCCCTCCCCCCCGGGGGGCGGGGCGCCGGGGACGGGGCCGCCGGGCCGCCGCGCGATCCGGCCCTTCCTGCTCCCATTGGAAGGGAGATCAACCCCTCTGCCCCTCCACGCTGGGACCTTGCCCGGGACCCGGCACGGCTGCAGATCGTCCCCCCCCCC